TGACGGATTTGCTTTTTGATGTCGGCGGTAGTTTGGAGATAAGAGGCTTATCAGCATTATTGTCGCAAAAAGTTGCTCCAATAATTAGCATATTGTGGTGCACAAGCAGGATTTTATGAGGTATATAGAGTTGTTGGAAAAGTAGTTTATGCTTTGAGTAGGTCCAGCGAAAGAGAAACCAAAAGATAAATTGGCAGAATGTAGTGGGCGGGTGCAATATAAACTCTGATAAGCATCGCCACTGGCATGAAACTGTATTCGTAATTGGAGCAGCTTTACCAAAGAACAAAATCATGTCTTCTGAATTCCATGCATACAAGAGACGATGGATCTATCTTTTCGTTGCTTGTTTAGTTAATTTCTCGAATGGAAACGTGAGTAAATTAGCCTGTATTTCTATAGGACTGCGCATTTTGTGTTTTGTATAATCTGCAAATTAACTTTGCAGACATGGATCACATACGCTCCAATCACTTTTCAAACCAATGATTTCTATGGTAATTCGAATGCAGCATTGTTGTTTAACTTGATATTCATGGCGTTATCGATACCCGTAGGATTCCTGTCATGTTGGTGGACTGATCGATATGGTTTGCGGTCTGCGGTGAATAACTGATGTTAAATTGACCGTCATGACTGTGTTTCGTTCGCAGAAATAGGTCATGTTTAGAGAGATTTTGGTTAAGATATTGGCGAGCGTGTTTCAGTTTCATATTGGAGCATGGACGAATTTTATCGGGAATGTGATTCGAGTTGCTGGATCGGGTGAATGGTTCTCTAAAAATGTTCGATTTCCAATGGCGTTTACTGGACAAGCAGTTGCTGCTTTCGCTCAGCCATTCGTCATGTTTTTGCCGACGAAATTGGCAGCATTTTGGTTTCCTCCGGACCAAAGGGTCATAGCCAATACACTTTCGTCAATGTCAAATCCGATTGGCATCGCTGTTATGTACTCTATATCGCCGCTGATTGTAAACGAATCACATCCGAATGCATTTCCTTTGCTGGCAAGTTTGAATGTTCTACCGAGTAAAATAGATCACCCAAAACTAGAAAAGCCAATTTTAACCAAGATATCTAGTGGTGATCTACGTGTTCCACCTGCAATGATGCTCAGCTCCTTCTCATTTTCATGTCTCAGAAGTCTATGTTTAACATTAGCGAGGCAGTAGGCATTATGCGAAAGTGTGGAGTATGTTGGTGTGCCTAAAGAATCGATACGTAGTTGTGGTGAAACCAAGTCAACTGACCGCTCTCCCAAATCCCTTTTATGGCAAAACAATTACTGCGCTTCAATGCACTGCGGCCTTGATGAGCTCTTTATCACAGTCATTGGAACCTTCTAGAAATGTGCATTTTGCTCATATGATTGCCCCGTTCATTTTATCTAAGATGAAAATCTAAAATTTTGCATAGCACTAGCGATTCGTTTTCAGACTGGAGTATGTGCTGGCTTAGCTACGGTCACTGCTGTTTTTACTTTATTCATCACTCGTTCCAAACCGCCGACTCCTGTTGCTGCTTCTAGGGATTCTGAAGTTGAAGTGCCAGGATTCTTGGAAGGAGTAAAATTATGCGCTCGTTCCAAAACATATTGGGTGCTAGCTGTTTGTTTGGGTGAATTTCCGAGTGCTCAAGCTCAGGAATATCTTGCATTCTTTGTGAATGCTAGCATTTTGCGTGAACAATGATAATGATTCCAATTGGTTGAAGGAGGCGGTGTTGGACTTTTCAATGCCCTGTACAACAATCTCCAGCCAGCTCTCTGCGTTTTGGGTTATTCAGCATCGTTCAGTGGAGGCATGGGAACCCTCCTGATTATGAGCGGTCTTGTTGGTGCTGCGATTACTGGTATCTACGTGGACATGACTGGACAATTCGAAAAGGTTTCATGTTGGCTCTCGGAGTTCTATAGAGGAAGTCAAGTCACATAATTTTATAGACGATGAAGGTGTCGTTTTTGCTTGCTGGTATTGCTGCTTGCTCGTTGGCAGTTTCTATAAATTATGAAGCAATGCAGGGTTGGGTCGTTGCCTCTATATTTCTCTTTGGTGCGTTTGGATTCGCTATTTATCCTATCGGTCTTGAAATGGGTGTGGAGGCTACTTTTCCCGTTGCTGAAGCCACTTCCACGGG